TTATTAAAAAAGCCCAAATTTGACAATCGCCTACAAATATTGTTAAAAAAAATTGTCAAGACCAGCGACGTTTTTCAAGGTACCTAAAAATTTTTTCTGAATCGGATATAAATTTTAAAAAAGTTGTGAGTACCTCCATGTTTTAGAAAAAGCTTTTATTTAATAAAAAAAACTCCAATTTGATGAAAAAAGCCCAAATCTGATATTAGACTTTAAAAATTGTTTAAAAAATTGTCAAGACCAGCTTAAATGTTTTAAATTGCATTTTTTTGAATAATTTACAATTTTAATAAATTGAACTTTTTAAAATAATTGAATTTCATGAGAATTGTAAATTGTAATTCCACATTCTGAAAATAATTAGCTCTGATAAAGTTGCAGTTTCAAATTCTATAATTAATTGAATTTTAACTAATAACTCAATTATTTCTAAACATTTAATATAAAATTTTGTAAAAGTCAATTTTGACTTTTACAAAATTTTACATTAAATGTTTAGAAATAATTGAATTTTAACAGGTATAATAAGATAAAAAATTTTTTTTAAATAATTCACGTTTACAAAGTTTAGAATTGAAATTTTTTAATCTAATTGAAATTCAGTAGGTTTTCAATTAAAATTTTGAAAAATAAAACTACAATAAGATAAATTAGATAAAAATTTAATTAAAGGAAACATTTCGATTGGACAAAGCACTAGAAATAAAAAAGTAAGGAAGATTTGTCGCATTTGACACAAAGGATCCAAAGAGAAAAAGTTATTGATTCTAATAATAAAAATAAATATTCACCACTCTTTTAATTTCTACAAACAAATTTTTTATATAAACTAAATAAACTAATATTTACCACAAAAATACATAATTATACTCAATAGATTTTTGTTCACTAGAATTTTCTTTCTGCTAATGAGTATAATACGTTTTTCTCAACAAACAAAAGAATGGAATCAAACAAAAGAATCTTGCTCTCTCTCTCTCTTTCTCAATTAAAATAAAATTACCCCCAATTATTAGATATACTTACGATCGGAAAATACTTTTTACTAAAAAGTTGTTATTTTTCAACACAATAACAAATTTGTTGAGAATAAAAGGAATTATTTTGTATTTTTCTATGGAAATAATTCGATGATAAAATCGATGACCTCTAGGTGAAAGCGTGAAAGCTCTGTTTTTACTTCATCAATGTCCAACGTTCGCTAAAGCTGAACTGAATGGACGATTGATTGATAGACATGTGTGTATGTATGTATATATTCGGTCTTAACTCGTTATTTTAGTCACGAAGAATTTATTTCGAACGTAAAAAGCTTCTGTCATTTCCGGAAACGGAGATAGCCAGTAAAACATATTTTTTTCCTTTGAAAACATATATATTCGATAAATAGGAGAAACTATTTTTACAAAAATATATATAAATATAAAAGCTCCGCATCAGTTGTGTATAATATTGATGGGAAAACAAGTCTAACTTTTAGAATAAATATTGTTATATGTAAAATAAATAAAATGCTTTTTATCGATATATAATAATTATACAGATAGATAAAATAAATAAATAAATTCTATTAGTAAATAGAAAGTAATATTTGCCTGGAAAATCGAGGAAAATGAAATAAATTAAATACTATGCGCGGTAAATAATTTTCTAAAAGTAAAAAAGGGGAAAATTTTTTTTTTCGTAAAAGCATACATAGAGCTTTCTTTTTGCGAGGCGCAAAACTCGAAAAATGTTTAGTTGAACATTTCTGTTTGCTGTGTAAAAATTTAATCACTATGATTTGTTATGCTCTTACAACAAGCACACATTCCGCCTCATGAAATAGTTCTCAACGAAAGCTGAGTGCACGCTCTGGCACCACCTCCGGGATATCATAAAGTACTTTGTTTTTTTCAAATGGGTATATATATATACATTGTATATGGAAAAAAACTTGAAAAACTTTTCCCAGGAGCTTATCTAAAAGTTTTTAATTCGAACAAGTACGTTCACACATACACTTTATTGATCCCTTTATATATAAGTATCGAACGAGACTCTCTCTCAGTTCTGACTTTACTCAACAATTGAGGATAAACTTTAATTGGACAGTTTCTTAATGTCTTATGATAACTTTACAACATTTTTTTTAAAGTAATACAGTTTATTAAATTAGAAACTTTTTAATTTTCTCCCATTAGGATAATTATTTATTTTTTTTTTTTTTGAAAAGAAAAAATTTATTATTGAATCTTTGGAAAAGCTTTTAGAAAATTCTAATATACTTTTAGAATTTATCTTACATTGAAAAGAATTATTTGATTCAAGAGAGGAAAAAAGCTCTCAAGCTTTCTTTTTGTCTTTTTTCTTTTTCAGCATTCTACAGTGAAAACAAATTTATTTGGATCAAATATAAATTATTTGACTCAATTAAATGGTCTATTATTCATTAAATATTTATTTAAACTAATAAAATATTTACTGAAACTTACTATATTTCATTTTATCCTATTAAATAAACAATTATTTGCGACAAACATAAATTAACAATAATTAACTGTAATTATGAATTATTATTAATTATTAATTAACTATAATAAATTGAACTAGCAACAAATCGCGCGGCTAACTTCTTACTACCTTTTTTAAATAAAATTATCAATTTTAAAAATAATAAAATTTGAAAATATTCTAATTTAAATTTTTGTTGAAAATACTAGAAAAAATTCAATTTTGTAGAATTTAAAAATAATTGCAAAAATTCTTTAAAAAAAATAAAATTCTTCTCATTAAATTCAACTATGTTCAAATCTTAAAAAAAATTCTCGTAAAAATCCCAATTATCTTTATAAATAACAAAATTCTTCTCCAAAGTTCAATTATTTTCAGAAATTTTTCTAATTTTAATGATTTTCAATATCTATGATTTTAATAAAATATTTCCCAAAACGAATTCAATTATTTAAAAAAAATTTTAATTTGAAATTTTAGAAAATGACAATTTTGAATGAATGAATTAACTAATAAAAATTTCAGAGGAATTCTATTATTTACAAATTTTTTATAAATTTTTTCGCAATAATTCAATTATTTTCATGAAGAATAATATTTTTTACCAGGAATTCAATTATTTTCATATATATAGGTTTTCAATTATTTTCATATATAATAATAATAATCATCGCAGAATTTCAATTATTTTTGGTACAATGTTAATGGAATTTCTCGAAAAATGTAATTATTCTTAAAATTTTTATTAAAATTAATTTTCAAAGATTTTAATGAAATAATTTTTAACAATTCGATTTTTTTCAAAATAATTTTAATTAAATTCTTCGTAGAATTAAATTAATTTCAATAATATCAAAATTCAATTATTTCAATAAAAATTCACAAAAGAATTCAATTATTTAAAAAGAAATATATTATTAAAATTCATCGCAAGAATTAAAGTATTTTTCATAAATAATAAAATTCTTCTCAGGTATTCAATTATTTTCAATACAATTATTAAAAAATTCGATTGTATTCAATAAATTAAAGAAATTTTTTCAAAAAATTCAATTATTTTCCAAAAATTTTAAATAAAATTCAAAGATTAAATGCTTAATTTCAATTATTAAGAAAGAGGATTATTATAAAAACTTGAAAGAAATTATTCATATAGAATTCAATTACTTTGAAAACTTTTAATTAAAATGATTGAAGAAAGTCCATTATTTTAAAGAAACTCAAAGAAATTCTTCAAACGAATTTAATTATTAAGATTATGTAAAATTTTAATAAAATTCTTCCTAAATTCAATTAATTATTTTCATAAACAATAAAATTCTTCGAAGAAATTCAATTATTATCAAATTTTTTGATAAAATTTTTTGCAAGAATTCAATGATTTGCAATAATTAAATTATTTAACAAAAAAATTAATAAAAGTTCTTCATAAGAATTCAATTATTTTTGAAAATTTTAATAAAATTCGTTGCAAAAATTCAATCATTTTAAAAAAGTTTGATAAAATTCTTCAAATCAATTCAATTATTTAAAAAAATTTTGAAAAAATTCTCGGCAAAAATTTCAATTATTTTCAAAAATTTTCCTCAATTCAATGATTTTTATAATATCTACTAAAATTTTTCAAAAGAATTCAATTATAAAAAATTTTATTGAAATTCTGCGCATACATTTAATTATATTCATAAAATAATTAAAATTTCACAAAGAATTCAAATATTTTCATAAATAATAAAATTTTTTAAGGAATTCAATTATTATTTTCATAAAAGATAATTTACAATTCTAGAAAATAATAATTTAATTAAAATGATGAAAATAATTTTGATGAAGTTACAGTAACAATATAGTTAATTCAAATTAATATAGTTAATTAATGTTCTTTTATTCTTTCAATCATACACTTTTTCTGTCCCTCACACTCTGAAGGTGTCTTTTGTTTATACTTTTGTTTTTTGTTAATTGTTATCTTTAGATAGATTGTATATTACGTTATAATTATTTTTATTTTATAATTAATTCAAAATTGTAATGACAAATAGAAATTATCAGAATTTTTTTTCAATTCTTTTCATTAAAAGACTAAAATTTTGTGAAATATGATGTTTTGTCAAATTGAAATTATGCAGATTTTTGTTCTTTACTTCTAAACAAAATTAGAAAATTGTTAAACAACTGCGATTGAGAAATAGAAAATTAAATTATTTTGCATTATTTTTGTTTATGAATCACAATTTTTTTAACAAAATTATTATTTTGTTTTAGAAAAAGAAGAAAAATATTTGGTTCTATTTCAATACCAAAATCAGCTCTAAGTTAGAATCTTTTTTTTTACAGTGTAAGAATAAATTTCTAATTTTAAAATAAACAACTTCACTGATAGATAAAGAAAAAGAAAATAAAGTTTTTTTCTTAATTTCAAAGTAACAATCAATTTTCCCTTTCGTGAAATAAATTAAATTCGGAAATTCAAAGACAATAATAAATCCTATTTTTTTCCTCCTTAGGAAACCCGAATGTACCACCAGGAAAGATTTATGGCATAACTTCTCTAAGAACGGTACTTTACTTGAAGGGAGTTTCAACTCCGGTTGAGTTGAGTTTTGGGTAAGGTTGCACAACTAAAGTACTGACTGACCGATACCGAAACATCCTGCTGAATTGCCAGTTTGGTACAAGGTGAGTAACAAGCTCCCAGCATCTCATTAGCATGATCTCACTGCATTTCAAAGTTTTCTCTCTGAATCGCAAAGTTAGATTACAGCTTCTTTTAACATTTCAGTATATATCTAAAGTTTCTTTTTTTTTAATTATTTACCGGCAAATAAAAGCGTTAATTAATTATTAAGTACCTCCTGGTATATTCTTTTATATTTCAATATTTATTTTTTGCCTCTATTTTTTTTTTTTTTGCTTTCATTCTTTTAGTAATTTACATTTTTAATCGGAGTCAAACAAAAATTTTAATTAGTAATTTTTGTAACTTTTGTCAATTTGACGATTTTATTTGACACTTTAAATAAAATTCATGCCACAAAATTGTATTAGGTATTTCTATCTACGGAATAAAGTTTTGTAGCCAGAAGTTTGACTTGCAAAACTTAAACAGTGAAATATATTGAGATTTATTGAATTACTTTCGCAGCTTCCAGCATTTAACTTTGACATCTCTGGATTTGGAAATACAGGAAAATACGCAGAAACTGTTTAAAAATATGTCGGGAATTTAACAGAACGTTTATAATCAGAGATTGTAGAAAAAGAATATTTTCCACTCAGAGAACAATAAAATTTTTCTATTAAAAAATTTTGTTTTGTAAAAAAACAAAAAAACAATTCGTTGCTTATGTAAAAAAAAAAAAAAAAACTAAAAATTTGCATAGAAATAGAAAATACGGTTTTCGTTTAAATCGTTGATTATATAAACGTTGTAAATTTCACAAGTTTAAAAATAAAACTTTCAATGTTTGAAAAAAATTTATATTTACACCGCTTTTTTAAATACAATTATTTATCAATTATGAAAGTCGGAAGTAATCTGCAATTAAAAAAGCCACAAATTCTTTGAAATTTTTTTTTTTTTTTTGAATCTCTAATGAAATTCTTTTACTAATTGAATAATTTTTAAACTAATTCCATAAAATATGATAATTCTTTAACAAGATTTTTTTTAAATTTAAGTACCATTAAGGAAGAAAGTGTGCCATAATTTTTTTTCATTTTTGCAAAGTTTGAACAATTTTTACCATTTATACTCCATTTTTTGAATTAGTAAAAATTTGTACTAACTTTTTGCTTTTGAATTAGTTTTCCCGGATAAACTAGTAGAAATTACTAATTACTAGAAAAATTTACCTTTTGCTTTTGAATTAGTAAATTTTCCTAATAAACTAGTAGAAATTGATATTTATCATACTGAACGTTTCCTAAGAAGAATTTTATTATTTACAAAAAATAATTTTAATTCTTTGGTTAAATTTAACTACTTTTACAAAAATTGAATCTCTTCAAAGAATTTATTAAAATTTTAGATAATAATTAGATTCTGTCGACAAATTTAAAAAAAATGAATATTTGAAGAATTTATTAAAATTTTAGAAAATAATTCAATTTTTTTGAAAAATATTTTAAAAAATTGAAACTGTATTAAAATTGTATTAGAAATAATTGAATCTTTGCCAAGAATTCTACTATTTGTAAAAATAATTGAATACTGTTTCGAAGGATTTATTACAATTTTAGAAAATAATTTAATTCTTTTAAAATTTTTATAACGAATTAAGAAAAAAGTTGAATTATTTCGTGAAATTTTATTGCAATAATATTTGAAAACATTTTTTTTAAATTAAATTTCTTCGTGAAATTTTATTAAAATTGTATTAAAATTAAAAGTAATTGAAATTTTGCAAAAAAATGTACTATTTATAAAAATTATTCAATTCTTCCAAAGAATGTTATTATTTATGAAAATAATTAGATACTTTAAAAAAAACTTTAAAAATTGAATTGTTTCGAAAGATTTATTTATTATTTATTCTAGAAAATAATTTAATTCTTTTAAAATTTTTATAACGAATTAATAAAAAAAATTGAATTATTTCGTGAAATTTTATTGCAATAATTGAATTTTTGGAAAAACTATTTTTAAAAAATTGAATTGTTTCAATGGATTTATTTAAATTTTAGAAAATAATTGAATTCTTTCGTGAAATTGTTTAAAAATTTTGTTGATATTGAAAATAATTGAAATTTTGTAAAAAATTCTACTATTTTGATTATAAAATTATTCAAAAATTTAAATTTGAAAAAAAAATTTGTAATTTTTATAATAATTTAATGTTAAATTTAGAACACAGTTTTTCTGCAGATATCAAATTGAATCTAATTTAGATTCATTATAATTTTTCCTTTATTCAACCTTTGAGTAATTACTATTTAAAAAAATGAAAATTGTGTATTTTTCAATTTTCCAATGAACAATAAATAGAAACAAATTTTTGAAACAATTGAGTAAATGTTGCGTAGTTGTTGGTTTAGGTAAAAGTTTGCTTGCTTTAGGTAATTTAGGAGAAAGCCTGTGTATTGGCATAGAGCGAAGCACAAGTGTGAAGAGAAACATCTGCTCTCAGGCGTTAAGCTTGAGATTAGAATTCAGTTTCTATGATAAGAAGAATTTTGCCATATTTAGCAATGTTACGTAACATTTTATTTACGTATATAATCAGAGGAATTAAATAGTTTACTTTTAGCCGATATATTTGTACCGAAATAATTTTATAACAGAATTTCTCTTTCGTATCGAATTAAGAAAATTATATTTTACTCAATATTATTAATTTATTATATTATAAATTATATTTCAATTAATATTATAATTTATAATATTATACGCTGAGAGAAAATTCTTTTTTTATTTCAAAAATAAGTAACCAACTAAAAAAATATGTTTGAATTAAATATATTTTATAAATGAATTAAACTTCATTTTTATTGAATCAAACTTTATGTTCAATTATTAGAGAATAAATTTTGGTCGACTGTATAAAAAAGATTTTGTTTGATTCAAAAATATTTTTTTTTAAATTAAAAAAAAATTAAAAACTAGTATTTTTATATTTATTTATTAAATTATTCGTGAAGAGCATTTTGGCATAATTATCATATCATAATTTTAATAAATTATGTTATTATTTATTTAATTTTAATATTTCATGCTGTGAATTCCATCATAAATGAATTAAATAAATAACAAACTTCACTGCAAGAAGCATATTCGTAATTAAATTAATTTTTCATAATTTCTCTTTTAATTTATGAAAGATCGCGTTAATATACTTTTGTATTATTACAATACACAGATAGTGACAGTTTGTTTACATTGAAAATGAATAATTAAACCGCTTTTACATATTATTTAGTTTTATTTCAATAACACATGCCGATCAATGTCCCCCTTCCATTTATACATAAAAAATGGTAGATATTGTTCTTCGCTTGATATTGTTCACCGAGAGAGAGAAAACTTTTAGCGTACACTCCATCAAATTGCTTTACTTTACTCTCTCGGAAAACTTTGTAAACAATACACAGTCGCATACGACTTTAGCTTTTATGGAAAATGACATAGAAATGCAAAATTTACATTCAAACTTTTTAAAAAATCTTTGAAGTTGAAATATTTTTGTTTTGTTTTTAAATTTAAATATATGGTATATTTTTGAAAACAAAGGAATTTGTCACTTTGTGTCATTTTTAAATGAATAATTGAATATCTTTTAAATTCGATGAGAGGAGAAAATTAAAAATTTACTCACATCTTCTGCTGATAGAATTTGTGTTCCTGGCTGAGTGGTGCCGATCCCTGAGTGTGGACGATGATGCAGAGATTCTGAAGTTCCATCTTTCGAGCACACATTTCTGTACCATGGTAATCCATTTGATGAATCTCTTCTTTCTCTGTATTTTCTCCATACGTGCCTTAAAAGAAATTATTATTTAATTAGTTTATTTTAATGATAAAATTAACTATAATTTTGAATGTTCTCTCATTCATTCATTTTTTCTGTCTTTCCCACTCTGAAGTTGTCTTTTGTTAATCCTTTTTTTGTTATCTATTTAGATAGATTGTATATTATGTGATAATTATTTTTATTTCATTAATTCAAAATTGTAATAACAAATAGCAATAATCAGAATTTTTTTTAATTCTTTTCATTAAAAGACTAAAAATTTGTTAAATATTATGTTTTGTCAAATTGTAACTATGCAGATTTTTGTTCTTTACTTTTAAACAAAATTAGAAAATTGTTAAACAACTGCGATTAAGAAATAGAAAATATATTTATTTTGCATTATTTTTCTTTATGAATCAAAATTTTTTTAAACAAAATTATTATTTTTTTAGAAAAAGAAGAAAAATATTTGCACAATTCCTATTTTTAATCTTATTTTTGGAACATAATTTTCCACAAGAATTAAGACCTGTGGTATTATTTTAATTAATTAGTTAAATTACAATTAATTATTATTTTTATATTCCCTTAATTAATTAATGAGCGTGTTGATTAAATTGTGAATTATTATTTACAATTATAATTCGTGATTTCTGTTTCTATATGAGAATTGAACAATTTTCTGGTAAATAGCAATAACGTTAATGGTAATATATTTGTAAGATAAGTAACAAGTTTACCATGGAATTGCACCATTAATCAACGTCAATCTAGTTTCGAAATGTCTACTATCGCCATTTCCGTCGTTACGACTTCTATTCTATAATGCAAGTTCTGCTGACTTTACAAGCGTTACTGGCATATACACACAAGAAACAGTCTCTTAACTTCCTCCAAATAATTAATTTCCATTTCATATACAATATTAACAGAATTTTTTATTTTTTATCCCTCTTTATTAAAATTATACATTTTTTGCTTCATTGTTTATATTTTTATTATAAAATAGTTATCTCTATTTTTTGTGAGTTGGTATTTTATAAAAAATATTCCTTAGAAAATAATTAAAATATTCCATAAAACTGTATCATTAATAACAGAATATATATATTGAACAAAATTTTGTTAAAAAGAGTTTTCACACACAGTTGCGAATATATAATAAATTCGATTTCAAATTAATGTAGAATTTCTATGTATTAAAAATTTAGAATATTAGGTCACTGAATTATTATTTAACATCGACATTTCGTTTGACAAAATTTTAAATTAGTCCACTCTTTTATTTAGAAGAAAAAATATAATCGAACTTTAATCTCACAGGTATATCATTTAACAGAACTTTAATTATTCGAACTTTCAATATTAGAATTCTCAGTTCATCGGATTTTATAACGCAAAGATTATTTAGTTAACGTACATTTTAGAGTAAATACAATTTCTTTTAAACTCATGTAATGTGGAAATTTTTCTAATATTCTGAAATATAAATATCAGTAGTAAAAGTAAATATTAAGACAGACACAAATTCTTGAAATGTGGAAATTAGTAAATATAGTCAAGTTGTATTCAAATACAAATTTCCTTCCACACTTGTAATGTGGAAATCAGTAGTTAAAGTCTGATTTTAGTCAGACACGAGTTTTTTAAAACCATAAAATATGGAAATCAGTAGTAAAAATAAATTTTTAGTCTAATAATATGAAAAGCAGTAGTTAATGAATATTTTTAGTCAGACAGAATTTTTTTAAACTCTTGCAATGTGGAAATCAGTAGTTAAAGTAAATTTATATTCAGACACGAATTTTAAAAATTCCACTAACGTGAAAATCAGTAGTTAAAGTAAATTTTAAGTCAGACAAATTTTTCCACAATCTTGTAATATAAAAATAAGTTGTTAAATAGTGAATGTTGTAGACCTTATTGTTAAAATTCAGATAATATTTTTGTGGCCTTTGGTCTATTAAATAAGAACGGTGTTTTTGTTCACAAAAGAATTTTCGAATTTTTTAAATATATGAAAATTCTTTTGTGAACAAAAACACCGTTCTTATTTAATAGACCAAAGGCCACAAAAATATTATCTGAATAAGTTGTTAAAGTCAATGTTAGTCAGGTAAAATTTTTTTTTTTACTTCCTTAATATGAAAATAAGTAGTTAACGTAAATATTAAGTCAGACACCATTTTTCTAAGTTCCTGTAATGTTATAATAAGTAGTTAAAGTAAATTTTTAGTCAATTTGAAAATCATTAGTTACAATAAATTTTCAGTAAGACATAATTTTTTTAAAATTCCAATGTAAAATCAGTAGTTAAAGTAAATTTTTAGTCAGACAGAAATTAAAACAATTTTATTAGTGTAAAAATCAGTATTTAATGTAAATTTTAAATCAGACACATTTTTTCTAAGCTCTTTTAATGTGGAAATCAGCAGTTGAAGCAAATATTGGTCATACACAATTTTTTTTAAATCTAGTAAATTAAAAATCAGTAGTTAAAGTAAATTTTTAATCAGACGCAATTTTTTAGAATCCTAGTAATACCCAATGGGAAATGCCAGTGTAGTGCCGATGTTCACCACTGGCTTAGTACTCAGACGATTGTTCGGCGTAGTCTAGCCGAGCCTCGACAATTAGTGCTGGCGCAGTACAGAATTTTTGTTTCGCCAGAGCTTGGACAAGCCACGGCGGCAAGTGCTGGCTGAGTATAGAAAAATTGTTCACGACGCTCTTTGCCAACATTGCTTTTTTGACATAAACTTGAAAAAAATTATAAAAAAAGTTTATGAATGTTTATAAATATAAATTTATTAAAAAAAAATTAATATTTTACTTTTCAGTTGTTCATTTTTTATTTTTATTAAGTTTAATAATAACAATTTAACATAATTGTCTAATTTTGTAAATAATAAATTATTTAGACAAATTAAAATTATAAACAAAATTTAAACTTTAATCTCAATAATAATTTGGTTCCTATTAAAATACTATTATACTTCTTACTATGAATAAAAAATTATTAAAAAATTACCACGCAATTTAAGAATTACGTAAAATGTTAAATGCAATAAATAAAATAATTTAATTTTTAAAAATTTAGTTTAACTTATTTTACTTCAATTTATTATTTCTAACGTATCCCTATTTTTTTCTCATCTTTGACTCAATAATTGTATGTCTGAATGATACTGAGATGTTAATACTTCACTGTACACATGTGTCGTTAGCATAGTGGTTAGAGCGTTAGTCTGTTAGTCCGTAGGTCGTAGGTTCGATTCCCCTCGTCAGCAATTTTGTTTATTTTCATAGGTTTGCGATATTTCTAGATTCCAATCGTTAGGTACTAAAATATGAAAATCTAATGCACACTTACTGTAATTGTTTATTATTTAATTTTTAAATGTTATAAACAATTTTTTTCTACTTCATTTACTATATCCATTGTTAGTCTCCATCTTTAATACAATTTCTTTAAGAAGAGAAATATTTTATGAATAATAACTATTTATTAATATTATTTACCATTTTGTTGTTAAATTATTTATAATTATGAATTTACGACTAATTAATAACAATACGGCATTTATTGCGGCAATATTCTCAGCCAGCACTGGTCCAGTGCTGGGCCAGCGCTGTCTGGCAGCACTGACAGACAGTACTTCGGCAGCGCCAGACGGCGTTATCATCCCAGTGCCATGCCAGTGCTGGCTCTCAGCCTTGCCGCCAGTGCTGCCAGTGCTGGCGCAGTACTACGCCAGTTGTAAATTTCCCATTGGGTATATAAATAAGTAAAGTTAAAGTTAAAGTTAGTCAGATATAATTTTTTTAAGCTCCTGTAATGTGTGAATCAGTAGTTAAAGTAAATTTTTAGTCAGACGCAATTTTTTAAATTTTCAATAATGTAAAAATCAGTAGTTGAAGTAAATTTTAAGTCAGACACGATTTTTCAAAATTCTAATAATGTAAAAATCAGTAGTTGAAGTAAATTTTAAGTCAGACACGATTTTTCAAAATTCTAATAATGTAAAAATCAGTAGTTGAAGTAAATTTTAAGTCAGACACAATTTTTCAAAATTCCAATAATGTAAAAATCAGTAGTTGAAGTAAATTTGAAGTCAGACACAATTATTCTAAACTCTTGTAATGTAGAAATCAGTAGTTAATATAAATTTTTAGTCAGACACAATTTTTTTAAAATCTATTTAATTGAAAATCAGTAGTTAAAGTAAATTTGTAGTCAGACGCAATTTTTTAAAATTCCAGTATTGTGGAAATTAGTAGTTGAAGTAAATATTTAGTCAGACACAATTATTCTAAACTCTTGTAATGTGAAAATCAGTAGTTTAAATAAATTTTTAGTCAGACACAGTTTTTTTTAAATCTAGTAAATTGAAAAGCAGTAGTTAGAGTAAATATTTAGTCAGACGCAATTTCTTAAAATTTCAGAAATGTGATAATTAGTAGTTGAAGTAAATTTTTAGTCACACACAAATTTTTTTAATGTCTTGTAATGTAGAAGTCAATATTTAAAGTAAATTTTTAGTCAGACGCAATTTTTTAAATTTCCAATAATGTGAAAATCAGTAGTTTAAGTAAATTTTAAGTCAGACACATTTTTTCTAAGTTCATATAATGTGAAAATCAGTAGTTATGTAAATTCTAATTCCCTATTTTGCTTCGCTCCCGTTGATCTATAAAAATCAGTCGTGAAAGAACATATTAGTCAGACCCAATTTTTTTAATATCTCTTGGTATATAAAAATCAATAGATAACGTAAGTTATAGTCGGATGCAATATTTCTAAACTCTTATTTTCGAAAAACTTGTAGTTATAGTAAGTATTTAATTTTTTTTCAATTGTTTCATGACTTGTACAGAAACCCTAGTATCTATTATTGACTTTCAAATAAGCAAAGTTTTAAATTGAAATTCTAATTCACCTTCCACTTCGAATGATGAGCTTTTATACGAACTTGATTAGGACATATTAAAATTGTTTTTGTCAAATTTATCTAGAATGTGAAAATGAAAAAGAATACTGAACGTGTAAATCGAGGCTTAATCTTCTCAATGGAATGAGAAAATGTTACTGCCATCTAAGAAATATATGACAGTACTGAATCGTCGTCGAGAATCATGTGGCACATAAGATACCTCAACATAACTTTTCTCATAAAAGTGTTTATCCTTTGATGTACGTGCGCTTATACCGAAACTCTTTTATTGACATTTAGCAAGCTCTGGCACAACTCTCAAGCGAAAAAAAATACAACGAGTCAATGTAATTTAATCCGCATTTCATTAAAACTGTTATAAAATATATAAGCGCCAGGCGCGTCTGACCATACTCTGTTTGTACTACTTTAAACTTTTATATTTCTCTGTTGTGTCTATGAATAAAGTCTTTTTTAAACTTAATTAAACTTTTAAACTCTTTCCACTAAGTTTTTTGAGTAAAGAAAAATACTGATATACATATCTTATTCTATTTTAAAGAAATTATTTTTAAATAAATATAAAAAAATAATTCTGTCTATAAATAAAAAAAAAACAAAAAAATGTAAAATTGTAGAACAATTATTAAATTGTTTTATAATTTTACATTTTTTGTTGTTCTTTTTTCTATATTGTTCTTTTTATTATTAAAATCTTTGACTTGGTGTTCACAATATTCATACACTAAAATGTCATTTTAGTTTCAGAAGCTTCTCGTAATTCGCTCATCTACTAAAAGCTCACTTCTCACTTTGTCTAAACGAGCTGGGACAGTAAAAAGCTATACGCAGCATTTCTATTCTCCACTTACATTTTCCTTCCTACTCAGTTGAAACTGCAATTTAACTATTCTCACATTCAGTAGCAGAGATCATTAATTTCCCCTTGATGAACAAATTTGTGTATAGTAGTCCTTCATTAAATGTTTTACAAAGTTTTAAGGGAATTTGTAAATTGAGTTTCGTTAAAAAAATACAAGAAAAGCTTATTGGTTCCAAGTATTTTTATATTACATCGAAATATTTTCTATTTCCTACAAAAATATTTATTGTAAACACAGACTATATTTAGTGTATTTAGTGTACATACCTATTGAAAATAAATTTAATACATTTAATTGATATAATATTTACTGCAAATCAATTAAATGTATTTAATATTTACTGGAAGTGAATTTAATATATTTGACATAATTATTGTAAATAAATTTAATCCCATATATTTATATTTAATATTGTATATTGTAAATAAAAATGTATTTGAGAAAATATTGGTTGACAATTTATCAACTTTCCTTTTAGACATTTAAATACATAACTATTTGAGAATAAGTATTTTTTTTATCTTATAACACAAGCTGAAAAAAACTACCTGTTACGTCGATGATATAATAAAAAAAAACTCTCTTACCTAACACCGAATGCAATTCCCAAGGCGAATATCAGAGGTAGTAAGGTGGAAATGCAAGCCAAGAGGACGGTTTCCATGTCCGAAAATGCTGCGAGAATACCTGAAAGAAGAGAAGAAATTGTTTCTTTTCAAAAAAAAGGATATCCCACGAGAAAATGGCAAAATTCTAGAATACACGTTCTATGCTTTTTCTATTTCAAGTGTCGAAATTAAACGAAATTTTATTATATATAAAATATTAAAATGTGCTTCTCTGACATGAAAAAAAAATTACAAAATTGTTAATTAATTTTGACTTAATTTGAAAAAGGCGAAAATTCGACTTGACAGTTTTCCATTTTTACAATTTTTAATAAAATAATTCATTTAAAGGAACGCTATTGCATAGAACAAAAATTTTTTCTTTTGCTAAAATATTTTTTTCTTCATATAATAATATTTTTATGCGTTTATATAATTTTATTTTTGTTTTATAGAAGAAAAAATACTTTGCCACTGAGAGAAATTTTGTAATAATTCCTCTAATGCGCTTAATAAAGTTCGTCACAGTTTTACAAAACAATTGTAATTTTTGGGTCAGTAGATAAAGTAAATTATAGTCAGACTATATTTTCCTAAAATCTTATATAGTGAAAATAAACAGTAAAAATCAGTCAAAAGCATAAAAAGTATTTTTTACCTCGCTGCTATCATAGAAATAAGTAGCAAAATTACGTTTTAGTCAGACATAATTGTTTAAAATACCTGCGCTTTGAAAATCAGTAGTTACAAATTAATTTTAGTCAGACGAAACATTTCTCAAGAAATATAATTTTATAGTTAGTGCTTGAAGTAAATTGTACGTCAGACTAAATTTTATTTAAACTTTTATAATTTGAAAATCAGTAGTTGAGGTAAATTTAAAGTCAGTCAGAATATTTCTAAGCTCATATTGTATTTGCAATTTTAGAGTCAGTGGTAAAAGTAAATTTTAAGTCAGACACAAATTTTTAAAATTCCAAGAATGTAAAAATCAGTAGTTTAAGTAAATTTTAAATCATACACAATTTTTCTAAATTAAGTATTAGAAAGCAGTTATTTAAAAAGAACTTTAAGTCTAGTAAATTTTGAGTTAGTAGTTTAAGTAAATTTTTAATGATACATAATTTTTCTACACTTTTTGACTGGGAAATCAGCAGTTAAATTTAACTGTATTTACTTATTTAGACAGATTTCTTCTCTAACTTTGTAATGTTGAAGTAAATTTTTGATCAGACTAAATATTCCTATTCTTTTAAAATTTTAGAGTCAATAGTAAAAGTAAATTTTAAGTCGCACACATTTTTTCTAAACTCCTTTAATGAAATCAGTAATTGACGTAAATTTTAATCGGATACTTTTCCTAAACCCTTTGAATATCAAAATCAGTAGTAGAAGTAAATTTTTAGTCAGACGCAATTTTTTCAAAATTCCAGTAATGTCGAAATTAGTAGTTAAAGTAAACATATAGTCAGACACAATTTTTTTTAAATCTAGTTAATTGAAAATCAGTAGTTACAGTAAATTTTTAGTCAGCCGAAATTTTTGTAAAATTCTATTGATGTGGTATGTAAATAGTAGATAAAGAAAATTTTTAGTTCGACACATTTTTTTAATATTTCAGTATTGTGATAATTAGTAGTTAAGGTAAATATTTAGTCAGACACAGTTATTCTAAACTCTTGTAATGTGGAAATCAATAGTTAAAATAAATTTTTAGTCAGATATAATTTTTTTAAATCTAGTTAATTGAAAATCAATAGTTAAATAAACTTTTTGTGAGACACAATTTTTCAAAACTCCTGTAATGTGGAAATCAGTAGTTATAGTAAATTTATAGTCAGGCACAGATTTTTTTTTAATTTCAGTAATTTGAAAATCATTAGTTACAGTAATTTTTCAGTAAGACATAATTTTTTAAAATTCCACTGTAAAATCAGTAGTTAAAGTAAATTTTTAGTCAGACACAAATTTTTAAAATTTTAATAGTGTGAAAATCAGTAGTTGAAGTAAATTTTAAGTCAGACACAATTTTTCTAAGCAATTTGAAAATAAGTAGTTGAATACTAAATATCAAGTCCGTGACAATTTTTCTAAATTCTCATAATGTAGAAATCAGAAAATAACTTAATTTTGAGTATGACACAATTTTTTTACACTCTTCTAATTGTAAAAATAAGTAATTGAAGTAAATTGTAAGCGAATATTTTTACAAGGTCAATGAACTTCTTTCCAAGGTGTATAAATAATTTTCTCAATACTATATCAATCGTACCTAGCCTCTCTTAGCTCAACTGTTAATATATTAATATAATTTTAATCAATTCTTTTTTTATCGCATTAATTTTTAAAGACTTTTTACCTCCTTTTTCACTTTATTAATTTATTATTTGCAGAATTAAAAATCTTAAAATAATATTTGAATAAGAGAATTTATCCGATTAGTAATAAGTAATGAAATTTTTTTTGGTGATAAATGTATAACTGAAATTGAATTGAAATTTTCATATACATAAATATGCGCACTTTAAACCAAAAAATATGAAAAATAGAATAGAATAGAAGTTTGAAGCTTTTAAATATGAAAAGAATTTGTGATTCTTGGAAAATCTGAAGCTGAATTCCACAGAGCATATTCCATGAAGGATCAGTGAGGCTTATGGCAATGCTCGTCATCTGTCATAACCTCATAACTGTACGTGGAGTGCAGGTGTGTGTGGTGTGCGGTAGGTGTGAATTCACATTTGAGAAACTTGAATCGTCATGTCGAGGGGACTCAAAATTATTCGTGTATAGAACAACGAATTAGTAGTAAACGACAACGAAAATGCAACCAACTTCCATAAAATCAAAGTACTGTCATTTTCGAAAACATGAACCACTGGACAGACGGAAAATTATGTCAACTTGTTGTTTTATATTCGCAGTTTAATAATCTTTGGGATAAGGATCATCCCTGCTATTTTAAAGCTCATTGTAGATATCAAGCTTACGACAAAATTAGAGAAGTAAATTATTATTTTCCATATTATCAAAGGATAGAAATTGAGAATTAATATTTTTATTTTTATAATTTATAAATATTTTCCTATTGTTAAAGGTTAGAATTAAAAAAAAAACTATAAATAATATTTCTAAATTATTTTTTATTAATATTAATTAATAAATTAAATAATATTTTATATTATTTTTATTTTTTATTATTTATTAAATAATAAAAAAATCTGAAATCTAAAAATGTTTATAAACATTTTTTTATTACCAGTTGGGATTAAAATGATTTTTCAAATTTGATAGATTTGCGATATTAGTTTTGAGAGAAAAAAATTGGTTCTATATGCAAAATATAATAAATAGTGAGAAAACTTAACTTTCGAATTGCAATATTTATTAAATGAGAAATCTAGAAATCCGCGAACCATTCGAATATCGATGATACGATTGAAATGGTAATTTTTATTCATAGAGTCTCTCCACTCCCGGTGTGACCGTCACCCATGTATTATCAAAACTCTGGGACTTGCGAAACGATTATGCGACTGAGTTGCGCAAAGTGCAACTTGCAAAAAAGCGGAATTCTCACCATCGACCGAGGGCAAAATGGTTTTATACAATGCATCAATTTTTGTACGATTATCTCGACTCCGACGAAAAACCCAGTGAAGACTCTTACCAAGTAATTCAATTATATAAAAACATTTACGCAAATAATAATTATTTTATTTTGATTATTTATCAAAAAAGACTAATTACTGAGAAAATATTTTTTTTACTCCACAAATAAATATCCAATCAAAAAAAAAAGTATGGAATTAATTACATTTTGCTTCAATGCATAAGTTTGATTCAATACAAATTTTATTGAATCAAACTTATTATGCATTGAATCAAAATTATGTTTAATTCAGATAATTTTTTTTTCTTGTTAACTTCTTTCACTTTTTTAAAAATATTTTTGCTGATTTTTCTGATTTGGCAAAGTTGAATCAATTTTATGTATTTTTGCAAAGCTTGAACACTTTTTATCGGTTTCGGAAATATTTGCCATTAAATTAATTTTTAAAGAATTAACTTACAAAAAGCAACAAATACAGTATTCTTGAAGACTTACAGTAAAGATATATTTCTAAAAATATCAATTAATGATAAAGCTTCAAAATGATGTCAAACATTTTTAAATGACACTCCACCGTCGAAAAATATTTGAAAAATAATTTTCAAGTGAATTAATAAAAGCAATGATCAAACATTCAGTGAGACGTGTCAATATTTCATTTTTTCGAATTAAACGCCATTTCATGTGGAATTTAAAAATTACTGAATAAAACAATAAGATAAATTGAGTATTTTCAATTTTTCACGAAATTGAAAATATTATTTCTAAAATCATAAAATGTTGACTTTATATTGAAAATACAAGAAATAAATGAAAAATTAAAATAACAAATAATAAAAGTATAAAATTATCGTTATTTTTATTGTCTATTATTTTTATGAAAATATAATGTGTAAAATTAAAATTTTAGAGAATGTAAACTTAAGTTTTAATATAAATTTAAATTATTAAATTGTCATTGTGGAGAAAAAATTAATTAACTTATTGAAATTGTCAATAATTATACAGAATTTATTATAAACATAGAAAAAATGACATTAAATAACATTAATAAATTTATTTAAATAACATTTTTATATTTTTGTAATGTAGAAATTAGTGTTTAAAATAATTTTTACTCAGGCATAATTTTTCTGAACTTTTGCAAAGTGAAAATCAGTAGTTGAAATAAATTTTAAGTTGAACACAATTTTTTAATACTATTGTACTGAACAAATTAGTAGTTAAACAAATTTTTAGTCAGATACACTTTCTCTAAATCCCTCGAAAGTAGAAATTAGAAGAAGAAATAAATTTTAGATTTAGGTGAAAATTAGTAAATAAAATGAAATTTATGATTCACGCAATATTTTTTAAATTCAATAATACAACAACTAGTGGTTTTCGAAAGTTTCAGTCAGACACAATATTTCTAAACTCGTGTAATTTGAAAATCAGTAGTGGAAGTAAATTTTTAGTCAGACGCAATTGTTTAAAATTCCAGTAATGTAGAAATTAGTAGTTGAAATATTTAGTCAGACACGATTATTCTAAGCTCTTGTAATGTGGAAATCAGTAGTTAAAATAAATTTTTAGTCAGGCACAATTTTTTTAAAATCTAGTAAATTGAAAATCAGTAGTTAAAGTAAATTTTTAGTCAGACATATTTCTCTAAATTCCTATAGTGTAAAAATTAGTAGTAGAAGTAAATTTTAGTCAGACACAATTTTTTTAAATTTCTAGTAATGTGAAAATCAGTAGTTAAAGTAAATATTGGTCAGACGCAATTTTTTAAAATTCTGGTAATGTGAAAATCAGTAATTAAAATAAATTTTTAGTCAGGCATAATTTTTTAAAATTCCAATACGAAAATCAGTAGTTGAAGTAAATTTTAAGTCAGACACAATTTTTCTAAACCCCTGCAATTATTGTTGTAATACAGAAATTAGTAGTTGAAATTAATTTTATGTCAGGCACAATTTCACAATTCTTTTTAAATGTCGAAAGCAGAAGTTAAAGTAAATATAATTATATTTTCGTTTCAGCCTTGTAATTAAATAAGTAACTTAATAATTTAATATTAGATAATTTAATTCTTTTTAAAAATTTCAAATCAATAACAATTATTTGTCAAAAAAAAAGGAAGATAAGCTTAATGTAGAAAGGAGAGGATTAACGGAAGCTTTAAGCTCTATGACAACCGTTTTCTCGTTCCTTCCTCTATCCTCACCTTAATCTCTCTTATATAGTGGTAGCAATCTTCATTGCAATTTCAAGCTCTCAATTATTACTTCATTAAGAAGAATATTAGAAAATCCTTTTACTTTCCACGGGATCAGTATGACCCTTTACTAATTTCTTTTTTGTCTTTTTTTTATTACTTTATTAATATTATTTTCTCCCTAATCTAGAATTTTTAAAAAATAAAATTTCTGTTATATTTTTAATTATTTAAAAGTAGTAAATAAATCAAAAATATTGTTCTTTTTATCTTCAGCCAACGTCTAGCTCTTCAACGTCTAGTCATGCAAGAGAAGGGAACTATTTTGCAAATAAAAATCAATTAAGGATTACGAATAAATCTGCTATTGAAAGAGAAAATAGAGATGAAAGAACGGCAAAGCCAATGAGATTTGAAAGATCTTGTGTTAAATTCAAAAATCACTATTCGCAGGAAGGTGATGAAGTAAATCTCTCGAAATGCTGTCAAGACAAGCTGAAGGTAAGATGCTTTCGATATTTGTACAGTACGTTATCAAACAGAAGATAGGAAGTTTGGAAGTTGCAAACTTTGAGAACAAGGTGGGAGGGTTGAAGTTGCTCTCAAAAGGTCTTCCGCTTTAAACTTTTTATCTCTCCCATAAGACGACCAGATAATTAACAGAAAAAAACAATATTTCTCTTTAAATTCTTCAATAGAGTATTTATTATTTTTATTTCTGTCTATTTTGCAATATTTTATGAAAAGAATTTTAAACATTTAAGAATTTAATTTAAATTGAAATTAAGTAAAACTAGCAACAATTACTAACTCCTTCCTACCTTTTTTTAAATAAAACTATCAATTTTAAAAATAAAAGAATTTAATATACAATCTATCTAAAGATAACAAAAAACGAAAAAAAAGTATAGAATACTTCTGTTACTTTTTATTTTCTATGTAGAAACTAGAAATAAGTAGTAAATGTCAATTTTAGTCAGACTTAACATTTCTCAATTATCGTAAATTCAGAGTTAGTAGTTAAACTAAATGTTAAGACTGTACATTTCTTCTAAAGTTGTGGAACGTAGAAATCAGTGGTTAAAGTCAATTTAAGTGAGACAACACTTTTAGTTTTCGTAAATTTAGGTCAGTACTTGAAATAAAATTTAAGATTCGCACGTATTTTTTAACTCCAATAATACAGCAACTTAGTATTTTTCTTAAAAGTTTTAGTCCGACACAATATTCTTGAACTTGTGTAATTTGTAAATGAGTAGTTAAAGTAAATATTTATTGAGAAAGAATTTTTCTAAATTTTTCTTTTATGGAAATCAGTAGTTTAAGTATAAGTCAGAAAGAATTTTTCTATTCTCTTATTGTAATGTGGAAATCAGTAGTTAAAGTAAATTTTTAGTCAGACATAATTTTTTTTAAATTCCAGTCATTTGAAAATCAGTAGTTGAAGAAATTTTTAATCAGACACAATTTCTTTAAACTCATTCAATGTGAAAATCAGTAGTTAAAATAAATTTTTAGTCAGACACAATTGTTTAAAATTCTAGTAATGTTGAAATTAGTAGTTATGGTAAATATTTAGTCAGACACAATTATTCTAAACTCTTGTTATGTGGAAATCAGTAGTTTAAGTAAATTTTTAGTGAGGCGCAATATTTCTAAACTTGTGTAATTTGAAATTCAGTAGTGGAAGTAAATTTTTAGTCAGACACAATTTTTTAAAATGCCAATAGGGTCAAAATCAGTAGTGAAAGTAAATATTATTTAGACGCAATTTTTCAAAGTTTCTGTAATATGGAAATAAGTCAACAATAATCTAATTTTTTGGAAAATTGGCGAAAAAGTTGAAATTATCAGACAATGTAAACCCTGCAGTTTATACAGTTCATCCACTTTTATAAAAAATTATATTTTCTTATACTATCGATTTGTATCTACATAATATAGTTTGTCTTTCCTTATCGTTCTTTCTCCATTAATTCCCAGCTATTCTCTATTAATAACCATTTTAATTAAAATGAAAATTACTTCTGTAATTCAAATTAAACATTTTTCATTCATAAATTCAGTCTATGAAGGTTCTTATAATTATTCATAATCTCATTGATATTTCCCCTTTCTGAATATATAATGGAATTATTTAATTAATTATAGAAATGTCTTTAAGAAAATTTTACTTTCCTACCCTTATTCATCTTTTTTTTTTCTTTCTTCTTTACAAAAAATGGAAAAAAACTTAGTTTCTTAGTTTAGTAATGATTTTTAGGAATCAGAAATGGAAAAAGGTCATTTCAGTAAATCTAGACGTAGGTTGTTCCAAGATTCGACTTTCGAGCAACTACAGAAGAAGACCGATAAATTTTTGAGTAGAGGAAGCAAAAGAGGTCAATGTACTTCATCCACCTATTTCAAGTGCAGACACCAAGACCAGGAGTATCGTTCCAACAACTTAGAAAACTCCAAGTTATGGGTACCAACTTCCTTAAAATTACGAAGGTCAACACCAAAACCCACATTCTCAGATGCGAGGGAAAGACTTCTTTCTTGCTGTTCAAATTGCTCGTGTTGCAGCAAAACAGCCAAATGGGAAAATCCAAACATTTCAGAGAAATTTAATCCATTAAATTCAGAGAGAGATTTAAGGGAATCAAAGTGCGGAACATGCAATTCATGCGATCATTTTTATGATGAAGGTTAGTTTACTTTTCTTTTTGAGAACCGCATGAAAATTAAATATAAATTTTCAGTCGGTCCAAGTTTTATTAACAACAACAACAACAACAACAACAACAACAACAACAACAACAACAACAACAATAATAATAATAATAATAATAATAATAATAATAATTTTAATAGTAATAATAAATAATAAAAATAATAAAAATAATAATAATAATAAATATATGTATTATAATTTATTAACAAAGTTACAGAGGGCAATGGAAAAGCTGTCAATATTTCCTCTTCTGAATCTTTAAGTAGTGGAAGGAATGATACTTTTTCCGAAGTGGATAATAAATTAAATAATGTTCGTCGAGTTCTTTGCCTCGATGAACTAAATGAACATGTCACAAAAGCCTTAAATGAAATGTTCATGAAACTGTGTCCTGTTGATATTGCTTGTTTTAATTCCTATAACTATAAGACTGCTGATGATAAGAAAGAACACGGGAAGAGGATATCCGCTTCGAGAGACGGAGAAAACAATTTTAACAAACAAGATTATAGTACGATCGTTGAAGGTATTTTTCTTCAAATTTATTCCGCATCTCTTGTTTTTGTAGCTTTTAGTAGTAGTTAAGGTTAATTACAGTCAGACATTACACTTTTAGGCTCGTATAAATTTAAAGTTAGTAGATTGAGTAAATTTTCAGTGAGTCAGAATTTTTCTAAACTATTATAATTTCGAAATCAGTAGTTCGAGTAAATTTTAAATCAGACACTGTTTTCATCAACTTTTGCCACGTAAAAATCGATAGTTTTCGTAAATTTTATCAACAGAAAACATTTCTAGTATTTTGTAATTTTTATAATAGTGCTTAAAGTATAATTTACGTCAACCTCTTTTTCTGAAGTCCGTTAAAGTAAATGTCAGTAGTTGAAGTAATTCTTTTGTCTTACACAATTTTTCTTAGCTTCTGTACTGGAAAAAAAGCTAGTTGAAATAAATCTCTTGTCAGACATAATTTCAGTCTATTTTTGTAACACAAAAATCAGGAGTTGAAGTAAACTTTAAGTTATGCCACTCTGTTTTCTAAACTCTAGTAATTTAAAAATCAGTACTTAACGTAAATTTTAGTCAGACTACACATTCATATTCGTTTGCAATTTTAGAGTCAGTGGTAAAAGTAAATTTTAAGTAAGACACAATTTTTCAAAATCCCAAGAATGTGAAAATCAGTAATTTAAGTAATTTTTAAGTCACACACAATTTTTCTAAATTAATTACTAGAAAGCAGTAATTTCAAAAGAACTTTAAGTCTAGTAAATTTTAAATTAGTAGTTTAAGTAAATTTTTAATCATACATAATTTTTCTACACTCTTTGATTGGGGAGTCATTAGTTAAAGTTAACTTTAGTCAGACAGATTTTTTCTGTAGCTTTGCAATTTTAAAATCAGTAGTTGAAGTAAATTTTTGATCAGACTAAACATTCCTATTCTTTTGAAATTTTAGAGTCAGTAGTAAAAATAAATTTTAAGTCAGAACTCATTTTTTCTAAACTCCTCTAATATGGAAATTAGTATTTAAAATACATTTTTAGTCAAACACATTTTTTTTTAAATTTCAGTAATGTTATAATTAGTAGTTGAAGTAAATATTTAGTCAGACACAATAATTCTAAACTCTTGTAATGTGGAAATCAGTAGTTAAAATAAATTTTTAGTCAGACACAATTTTTTTTAAATCTAGTAAATGGAAAATCAGGAGTTAAAGTAAATTTTCAGTCAAACACAATTTTTTAAAGTTCTAGTAATGTAAAAATTAGTAGTTAAAGTAAATTTTTATTGATACACAAATTTTTTTAACCTTTTGTAATGTGGAAATCAGTAGTATAAATAAATCTATAGCCAGACTCTTCTTTCTAAAATTCTATTCATGTGGTAGTTAGTAGTTAAAATGAATTTTTAGTCAGACCCAATTTTTTAAAATTTCAGAAATATGATAATTAGTAGTTGAAGAAATTTTTAATCAAACATCAGACCCAATTTTTTTAAACTCATGTAATGTGAAAATCACTAGTTAAAATAAATTTTCAGTTAGAAATAATTTTTTAAAATTCCAGTATTGTGGAAATTAGTAGTTGAAGTAAATATTTAGTCAGACACAATTATTCTAAACTCTTGTAATGTGAATAAATTTTTATAATTTATTACTAATTATTTATATTATTTCATTTATACAAATTTATTTATAAATAGTAATTTGATAAATATATAATCCTTGTCGAATTAATTGTAAGAAAAATAAAAGTAAAATTTCTTTAGAAAATATTTGTCTTTTTTAAAATTATTTATTATTGATTCAAATTTTATTTATCTTTTGAATCTTGCATTACAGTGACAAATGAAAAAGAGAATCGACAATCCGGAGATTCAACTCAAGACAAAACTACTACAGTCGAAGATGACAATTTCAGCCAGTTCGGAGCGGAAGTCACGAGAGTATTGAAGGAATCTAACAGGGAGAAAGCGTTGAGATTGAAAGCTGCGATCAAGCAAACTCTTGAGTCTGCAAAGAAGGAAGGTTAAGCAAAATCCTTGTGGTAAGAAAATCGAAAGGAATTGTCTTTTAGACTTTCATACACACTTGAAATTCAACAACTTAGAAAATTTAAACTTCAAACAATCATTTTTCTTTATATAATTGATGTTCTTTTTTAAAGAAAGAAAAACAAAATGTAAATAAAATCCTTTGTTATTGTTATTTATGGAAAGATACTTATTATCCTTTTTTTTAAACAGAAATACAATTTAAGTATAAAAATGTAAAGTTTTCAATTTTAAATTTAAAGCGTGTAAAAATTTTATTTAATAAAAAATACCATTTGTCAATTACAACTGATTTTTATTACCGTTTATTACTAAAAGAAAATGAAACAAAAGACAATCGATTCAAGTTTATGTTTCATTTTTTGAGTTTATTTTTCGAGGTTAATTATTAAAAAAATTTGTTATGTTTTGTTATTCAATGAGATAAGAATTAGATTTTTTTTAGAAATTGTACAATCATGAAATGTGGAGTAACAGTGAATATAAGGGAAAAGATGAATTCAACGAATGGACGTGTGAGAGAATCAATAAATTGGTTTGTCTGTATAGAAAATATAAGTGTCTTTGGAAAAAAGATGAGTCTTCTTACTTAAATCTTGAAGAAAGACACAATGCTTATAAAAGAATTTGTAAAAATTTGTCAATGAGACAAGTGACGATAATTCAAGTCTTAATAAAAATTCAAGAAATTCGAAAGATTTATGTTCGTGAATTGAAGAGAATTTTTCATTCCCAGCGAAATGGTTGTCATTATGAGCCAAAATTTCAATGCTTCTGGAGACTTCATCAATTTCTACATCCTTATTTAGATCACGAGGAAACTCTCCAGCTACACGTTGGTACAAAATTTATTTTAAGAATAATAAAAACTTTAAAGATAGAAAAAATAAAAATATTAATAATCTTATCAGTGACATTAAAAATTCGATAATTATTGATAGTTTTTCGATATGTCACTCGCTATCATGAAAGATAACTTAGACGAAAATGAATTAAATATTAAAATAAAATTAAATATAGTAATCATTGATTAATAATACAAATAATTAAATGCTAGTCATTAAATAATTATTAAAGTAATTAAATAGTAATCATTAAATAATAATGAAACTAATTACATAGTAATCATTAAATAATAATAAAACTAATTAATTATTAATCATTAAATAATAATAATACTAATAAAATAGTAATTAAATTTAATGAATAATAATTTAATTTACTAAATAATATTAAAATTTACAAACTAATAATAAAATTTAAAAAATAGCTTTAAATTAAAATATTTCTCAGAAAGCACTGTCAAATTTAAATTGTGAGGAAGAATCATGTGTTTGTTTAAAAAATCGTAAGAGACGAAGAAAAATATTTCGTAAACAATCGAAAAGACGTGAAAGAAAGCCTACTATAAAATTTAAAGGAAATTCAAGTTTTTGCTCATCTTCGAATTGGCAACTGTCGGACTGCGATATGAGTTGTAACCCATGTTCCACGAAAACTTCTAAAAATCTAGACGTGAAAAATAAATCTTCAAATTGTCTTACCAATCTCACTATTGAAACTTCGAATAAAACAGTTTCCAACTTGGAAATTGAAAATTGTAGTCAGAAAACTTATATTTTGAAAAATAAAGAACCTGTTACTGTCCTTCAAGTAAAAAATTTAAGACCCTTCTTTTCGATTTTCTCCTTTACATTTTTTTTTTTGCAAATAGAAATTTTCTTAAAAATATAATTTTTTTTTAATATATAAATTGACATTTTTAAACAACAAACGTAATACATTAATAAAAATTAATAAATTAGTGATTTTTTTTCATGAATATATATTCAAATTGCATAAAAAAAGTGAAACGAATACAATCGGACAAATTCTTTTCAATGAAAATTTATTTGAACGTCTCGAAATTGAAATGATTTCCTCATCAGTGATTCTATCGAAATAATACATTGAATAACAAGAATTAAAAATAAAAAATAATATATTTGCATTAAGAATATCAAAACGCACCAGTAATATAATAAATTAAGAATTAAAAATAAATAAATAAATAAAATAAGAATAAATAACTAACTTTGCATAAAACTATTATATTAGGTCTGACGTAATATTTACTTTAACTATTGATTTTTATATTACAAGAAGTTTAAATGAATTTTAAACACTATATGTCTGACATAAAATTGACTTCAATTTCCAATTTTTAAAGTTTAGAAAAATTATGTCTGATTAAAATTTCTATCAACTACTGACTTCAAATGTACAGGGGATAGAAAATGATATCTCTGATTATTGTTGACTTAAACTACTGATTTTTACCTTTCAAAAGTTTCGAAAAATTATGTTTGACTGAAAATTTACTTTATCTACTTATTTTACAATTTTAAAAGTTTAAAAACACTAGCCTAACTTAAAATTAACTACAACTACTGATGTTCAGCTTTTTAAAGTACTGATAATTCAACTACTGATTTTCACATTACGAGAGTTTAGAAAAATTGTGTCTGACTAAAAATTTACTTCAACTACTAATTTTCTCATTACTGGAATTTTAAAAAATTGTGCCTGACTAAAAATTTACTTTCACTACTGATTTTGATATTGAAAGGGTTTAGGAAAAATATCCGATTAAAATTTACGTTTACTACTGATTTCCATATTAAAGGAGTTTAGAAGAAATGTGTCTGACTAAAATTTACGTTAAATACTGATTTTTAAATTACTAGAGTTTAGAAAACAGAGTGGCATAACTTAAAGTTTACTTCAACTCCTGATTTTTGTGTTACAAAAATAGACTGAAATTATGTCTGACAAAAGATTTATTTCAACTAGCTTTTTTCCAGTACAGAAGCTAAGAAAAATTGTGTAAGACGAAAGAATTATTTCAACTACTGACATTTACTTTAACGGACTTTAGAAAAAGAGGCTGTCGTAAATTATACTTTAAGCACTAACGTAAAAATTAAAAAATACTAGAAATGTTTTCTTTTGATAAAATTTACGAAAACTATCGATTTTCCCATGACAAAAGTTGATGAAAATAGTGTCTGATTTAAAATTTACTTGAACTACTGATTTCCACTTTTAGGAGTTTAGAAAAATTATGTCCCACTAAAATATTCAACAAGTACTAACTTCAAATGTACAAGAGTAGAGATAGGAACTGTTATGTTTGACTGTTGTTGACTTAAACTACTGATTTTTACTTTTCAAGTGTTTAGGAAAATTACGCTCGACTGCAAATTTACTCTAACCACTAATTTTGACATTTTAGAAGTTTAGAAACACTGTGTCTGACTTAAAATTGACTTCAGCTACTAATTTCTAGTTTTCTAGGGTTTAGAATACTTATTTATTACTAAAATACCCTTCAATTACAGAGTCTAAATTTACAAGAGGTAGGAAATGTTATGTCTGACTAAAGTTGGCTTCAACTATTGCTTTTCACTATAAAAGTGTTGAGAAAAAATTTCTCTGAATGAAAATTTACTTTATAACCATTAATTTTTAAACTTTATGAGACAAGAAATACTAGTCTGACTACAGATTTACTTTAACTACCTGATTTCCACACTATTGGAATTTTAAAATATTGCGTCTGACTACAGATTTACTTCAACTACTGATTTTCAAATGACTGGAATTTAAGAAAATTATGTCTGACTAAAAATTTACTTAAACTACTGATTTTCATGATAGAAAAATTTAGAAAAATTCTCTCTGACATAAAATTTACTTTAACCACTGATTTTGACATTTTAAGAGTTTAGAAACACTATGTTTGACTGAAATTTTACTTAAACTACTGACTCGAAATTTAGAAGAGTTAAAAAATTATGTTTGACTAAAGTTTACTTTTAGTATTGACAAGATACAAAAATAAAATTAATTAATTAATTAATTAAAAAACACAAAAAAATCAATTGTATTCTTGTATTTTTTAATATTTATTTCTGAATTCGTTGTAATTTTTGTTTGTAAATTACCTTTGTTTCCATTGTAAATCAAATTTTAATTATCATTATTATAATGTTTGAAATTTTTAATACGAGTCTATTGTTTTTGATTTTCTAATTTTTTATACATATTTTTTATATCATAATAATTTTTTGTTTGATGTTAATTTTTGTTGTTCATCGTATTATTTTGAAAATACAATTTAAATAATTTTCTCATCAGGCAATCTATACTTTCTAATGAGAAAATCATTTAAATTTAGAAACGTTGAAGCAGATTTTTATTAAAAACCACTTTTGCAGAATGTACGTGTTTCGTATCACTATTTCCCTGAAATTTGAATAATTATCCAGAACGTTAAAGTGATTTGAAATTAAATTAGATCAATTAAAATTGCTTTAACATTAAATTAAAATCAATTAAACTCGTTGCAACATTAATTGAAAAACTAATATGAATTTTTTCTCTTCCAAAGGAACAAAATACGTGCGGATCAGTATCGAAGATTGAGTGTTACAGTAGAAGCGATATATCGTGTCTAACAGTTCGCAAGTCCTGTGACCAATTTGATTTCTTCGCGAAAAGTGTCGCTTGTCAACTAAGAAAAATGAACATAAATTCAGCTCTGAAAGTGCAAAAGGCTATTCAGGAAATTCTAAAAAATTCCAAGACACTAGTGGAAGAATCAATTAGTCCTAATGAAATATCTCCTACTTTCATGTTTTATCTTCCAGAAGTGAATAAAGACAAAAATTAATTTTCATAATTTAAAATATTAGAAATAATAATTTCACAATATTATTAATATTCCTTTCCCTATTTTATTAAAACTAATATATAATTGAGTTAAAAGTTTTACGCTTTAGCTCAAATTATCTCCGACAGTAATTATTATCGCACAAATTATACAATTCAAATGTTGCAAAATTCATTAACAAAGACTAAATATAATTTGCAGATTGTAAAGGCTAGGTCTATTGTTAAAATATTCACTAAATACTCGTGTAGTGAATGTGTAAATTTATTAATGCAAATTAATTAAAACCACAATTTCATTATACCTAAAATTTCACGGAAAGCGCAATGTACTTAAGATTATATTATAATTACGTTTGCTATTAAAATATTTTGCAGTCGAAATTAAAATTTCTCAAAATATTCTTATTGTGCTAATATAGATTTGAAAGCTATCAAATTCAAAT